CCTTTGAGTATACATTGCATTCTGCTCCTTGAAATGCTAGCTGATATCATGTTACCTCCCAGCTCAAAACTAAGCGGTATCATGTTTAGGCTCTGATGTTCATAGGAATCCCCTAAAGCACACCGGAGTTCAATTTTGAAAGTCTTGTTCCATTTTCCAGCTTATGGAACTATAGAGTTGCACTTGTTCAGGTCAAGACGGCGCGGAAGCTATTGGTCCATCCTGTATCCTAGAGTCGTGGCTAGTGTAAACTGTATCAGGTATAACAATGGAATACAAGAACATAGACAGCGAGGCAGGTAATGATAAGACTTGGCTGATGACATGCAAGTATACAAGTACGGCGCCCATACTAGAATACCGCCAGCTCGCCATCAGTACTATCTCTGCGAGGTTCGCGTGGACCTTCGTTTCTTTTCGCTGTTCAATCTGTTCTGTGTATCCCTGCGAGTGGCCCACCGGCACGCTCATTGAGGGGCTTCTGTGGGTAGAGGCTGCTTCGCTAACATTCGGCCCCGTCTACCCCAAGGTGTTTTCCCGCCCTGGGTACAAGGAGCTACTGGCGGCTGACCTCACCGGGCCCCCCGTCTTGTAGAGGACCATACACAAGCTTGCCTTAAGGCGGCAAATCAGGTGGCCTTGTGATGATGGGGATTGACGATGGAGGGGGCGGGTTCACGTGCGTGTCGCATTAATTCAGAGTACCGGCTGCCAGGGCTGATTAGGGTGAATACCCAATGGGAGGCTTGTTGTCTTAAACCCTTTGTGTGGTCTGGGTGGTTCCAAAAGGGTTACAAGGCAGCCGGCTCATACCGGCACAAGTCTCAAGGATGGTTGCAGAAGGATACACTGTATCCGCTCGATGACTGCATGCTCGGAGGGGAATGTGCTGTCAGTAGAGAAGCTGGTGGCATGGGTGGAGAAGAAACACATGGAAGCGAAGGCATGGGCGACAATGATGGCTGACACGTGTGTTAATTCGGTCACACTTGTAACCCTTTTGGAACAACCGTGTTTGTTATAGGGGATGGCGCATCTGGGCCACTCCTTTGAAACGTGGGTGCCGTCCACTTTGTGACCAGCAAGCACACATCAAGTGAACTGGACAGTCAGCAACCAGTCGTACTAGTCCCGCCGATACTGCTGTGGCAGTGTCTGCCTCGCACCTTACACTGTCGGCACTCTTTCCAACAATGCAGAATGTGAAGCCATTTGAGTACTGAACCGAAACTCCATACGGGCATATGGACTGCCAGTGTGCCTTTATGCATATACGCCTGCATATGTATGTACATGCGTGCCATCTGTTGCACATGTGCATGGGATAACTTTCATAGTCATTCGTTGTCAACCAGACAAGGGTGCATCCATCGGCCTCATTGCTGCAGTTGCTCAGCGGTTGGTGAAGTGTGTGTATGGCATGAAGTACATCAGCCCCTTTCGGTCCCCCTCCGGGGCGGCTGTGCAGAACTTGCCCTTCAGCTCACTTAGCGGCAGCCCTAGGTCCTGCCACATCTCCCACTGGCTGCCTGCCCTCGCTGTCTGGGCGGCCGCCATGTTGACCACCACCAGCCCCCCGCTGAACACCTGTCCCGAGTACACATCTGCGACAGTGAAGTGGACATCCTGAGCGCCATCTTCTGCGGGCAGGTGGACGAAGTACTTGAGGTAGGCCGCATACGTCCGAGTCTTGTTGCCGACTTCTGCCTGGTAGCATGCCCAGCAGGAGGTCCGCTGCTGCTGGTGCCCATACTCAGCCCCGAAGTACTGCTCCTCGTCGAGTGCCAGCATGCAAAAAGGAGCGGGCCTTGGGACAGTCGGGTGGTGTAGACATGAGAACCCTATCCAGGCGGTCCGTGTCCAGTTCGTAGCTCGCACTGGGACCCAATGTCCAGGAAGCCACATCCTCGAATGCCAGGGCATACCAGTGCACTAGGCTCGCCATGGCTGCCCGGACTTGTGCCACTCGTTCTGGACTCGGGTAGACCATGTGGCCTCGTCCAAGCAGGTAACCGTTGGCTCCTGGTTTATCAAACCAGGCAGCCTCGGTGTTCACTGCGCGCCGTGCCAACATCCTCTCAAGCTGCTGGTTGGTCGTGTGTTTGGCCCCGGTCGCGGGGTCTGCCTCGGTGAGCGACTCGGAGGCCCGCATCAGGCACAGCC